TTTAAGTCAGCATATTATTTTTTAGAGTGTATAAACGCTGAAAAAAGGGTTTCTTCACAGCAAGAACTATTTTTTCTTAGTGGACCTTCACGGATGCTAAAACAGTTCTTATAAGCAAGTTCCCACTATTTCATAATATCAATACATCTGCGAGTATTTGCAACTTTTATTTGCATCAGCAGCATTACACTGAATATTGTACATTCACTATTTGCTAACTCACACACCTACGCATGTTTTCAATATTTACCAGAACATCACTCACCTGCACAGCACTGTTAAGGAAGCAGCTGTTCTGGCCTGGCTCGTTAAGAAGACCTTTGGTCAAAGCGAGAGAGATCATACTTCCCGGCTGGTAGGACTTGTCCAGTCCTGACCCACTCCAGGCACCGGTTCCAGCCATGTTACCCCCAGGCTTTTTAAACAGTTTGACCCATGCCATGAGGTCAGAGCCTGGCCCTCTCCAGCAAACAACCAGAGTCAATTACTGAAGCAACTTGAGGTCGAGGCATCTGTTTTAGGCAAAATTAGTGCCCAGAAGTCCCTGACAGAGAAGGCCAACTTCACAGTGCCCTACAAAAAGAGCAAGATAAACTGCACTGGATTGTTTTTCGACGTGCAGGATTTGACAGCACACCATTGGGATATAAGGAACCATTCAAAACAGTAGCTCTTTATTTAGCGTGAACATGTGATTTCTAGCCACAAGTTGCGGCACGTTGCTTTATCAGTCCAGCTGTGAAAGCAACGCGTGGATTCATCTGCATCCAGGCACGCTGGCAATAAGAGGATGGATGCAGACAGAAGAACAAATCCATTACTCTGCACAGCATTTCCAGCAAAGTCAATGGAGGTCACTGAAGGGGGTCGTTCATGAAGGCTCCTTGGGACAGGCACTGCGGTAAAACACTGGCTAACAAAGGAAGACCTACAGAGAGGGAGAGACACACAGAGAAAGGTTGTGGGTGAGCGATATGAAGAGAGAAAATCAATGCTGTTAAATAGAAAGCTACTTCAGGTTACTACAGCCATTTTGCATGAAGAATGACAAACTCTGATGCTGTTAGAGTTAAGAGCTGGATATTCTTCTGCACAGCATGGTTTACTAAAGCAATAAGCCCTGTGAAGCCATGGTTTACAGTGAATTTATAACAGCTAAGGGGCGTTGTTAGGCACGAGTTATAATATATAACCCCTTAGCTGTTATAAATTCACTGTAAACCATGGTTTCGCAGGGCTTATTGCTTTTATAAAACGGTTATTCCATATACGTAGTAAGGTTTCACAAAATAAAACGGAGCAAATAAAGTGTAATGATATTAATAAAAACAGTATTCTTCCACCAAACAATGTAGCTCCTCAGAAACAGTTGTGGTTGCAACAAAGTGGTTGCCGAGCAACACACAAACGTAAACAAAGGTGTATGTTACTTTGTAGAGTCATTTACAACAGCTTCGAACGTGGCTCAGCCAATCAGAATCAAGCACCGGAACTATCCGCTTTATAAAGATTATCTTTGGTTTTAGATCATACTCAGTGCATTTCATGACAGGGTGGTTTGTTTTTTTTAAACTCTGTTGCCTGAATTCTTCAGAATAGGCCGTACAAACACTCATGGCAATCTGTAACTAGTGTATAAAAAATGTGGGTATTTGGTGGTGAATTTGAATGAATTTGTACAATCTCATTCGTATGTTTTCGTGCAGTCTGCTTAAATAAGGCCCTATGATTTCCACGTTGCGGACGAGCATTTGTGGTTAAAAAGTATTTAAATGTTATTTTTTTAAGAAAATTACTGATCGAGTATATCACAAAAACACACCCAGAGAGTGCACGCAAACACTGTGTGATGATCTATATCACACTAAGAGTCTCGATTTTCTCCAGATATCAGCATGATAACAAATGTAATATTGATGTTATTCAAGTTTAATAAAGTTAGTATTAAGTTTCATTTCAGATGGCTGTTTTTGCTGTATTTCACCAGTTTCGCAATACACAGGACGGGGTTTCCTAATTGAATGAATCAGTTTTTTGAACGAATGATTCAGTGATTAAAACAGTCAAATGTTTCATTCCAGAATGAATCAATCTTTTGAATGAATCAATTTAATCTCAATGCCACCTAGCCTACTTGGCGGCTTTAATTTCACATTTCAAGTATCTTTTCATGTTATTTTGCATCTTCAATCTTTTCAAATATCAATATTCAATGTTTTATGTTTAAAACAAAGCACTATTTATGCATTTGTAACTGCTGGTTAAATGCATACATGTCCTCTCTGAGCTGCATTAAACAGTCAGTGTAAATAAATTTAAATGCCACTTCAGATTCAAAATATTTATTTGCTCCTTTTCTATTTTGAATTTACTTGTACTTTTACTTTCAATAAGTAAGTAAAAAACTTTTCATACTTAAGTACAATAGGCCTACTTTAAAACTCAAGTAATATTCTAAACGGTGACTTTAACTTCTACCAAATAAATTTTCTGGTAAGATGTCTATACTTTTACTTAATGAAAGGAATGAATGTAGAACTTGTTGCCGCAGTGTTGCAGTATATTACTGTAAATGCAGGACCATTGCCATGGCAACCACATGAAGATGATGGGCTGTAGGCAGATGCAGCACTGATGCTGAATTCCTGCATCAACATACTAAAAAATGCAGAATTGCATTGCATCTCACAGTATGAAACTAAATTTAAAAACAAAACAGTGAAGGTTTTTCTGCAGAATTTGTGCGGTTCTTACAAGCTCTTTAATATTTAAGCTAGAGCACAATTATGATACCCTGGAGTTTACCCGTGTAAATACTATACAGCAAAGCGCAGTCTTATTAAATTGCTTTGCAGCTGTTCATCATAGAAGAACTAGAACAATAACTATTCGTGGTGCTGTTATCTTTACGCTTTTTTTAAACGGAGAGTATTAAAATACAGTGACATAACTATCAGAAAAACATTAACACAAAGATTTAAGTGAGCTTATTTACATTAAAAAGCGCAGTGAGACTGCTGAATGTGCACAGCCTTTGAAAAAGCATAGAAAGTAGTTATGAAACAGAATCCATTATTATGTCGTCTTGTAACAGTATCTGCATGACATGATAAACAAAAGCAGAAAGACGCTCAGCATGCCGTTACACCTGTTCCTGCGCATGCGCATCAGGTGACCTGCTCTATGCCGCATTTTCGCCTATGATGCCCAAACGCTGTCCATGTAGGCAGCTAGCTGAGTTTTGAGACACAGTCATTAGCCTAATAAACAAGAACAGCTCACCTACACGTGTCCAGTATATTGGTACTCGTTTAGAAGCGTGCATATCCACATCTAATATAGCCTACATAAGGAGCGGTGTTCATAATGCGCGTGCTGCTCAAGTTACTTGCTGTCGGAATCCTTCATTGCTCAGCGTGACATAAAGCGCAGTAAACCCGTATGGTCAAAGATCCTCTCACAGGCCTAAAGACAATAATGCCATGCTCGTGCATTCCTGCTCCTCCGCACTCATCGGGTCCTGAGCTGGAGATTATTCTGCTGGATGTTGTGGAGTTGGACGCGTTGACTCCGCCCCGCAGGCACCGCTACACTCCTCAGCGAAGTCCGCAGGAGCAACCCGCATATTCTCACGAGACCCAGCAAAACATCCGCTCTGACATTTAGATCGTTGGTGATTGCAGCAGCGTACAACAGAACCATGACTTTGGCGTGCATATGATACGCATGTGTTTGGCGTGCATATAATACGCATTTTTCGCGTGCATATGATACGCATGTGTTTGGCGTGCATATAATACGCAGTGTTCGCGTGCATATGATACGCATCTACCCCACAACCCTAAACCTACCCATCGCGTAGCATATGCACGCCAAAGTCCATTTTGGCGTATCAATACCACGAGTTTTTGTTTTTATTTGGCGTACTATTTATACGCACTATCATGAGATCGGGTTGGAATCATTTTTTTTTTTTTTATCATATTTTAGCATTATTATATCGTAATATTATTATATTACAATTACTACCGACTATGAAATGTGGTGTGACAGAACAGATGCGATACTCCAGGATTTCAAACAGTATGATGTGGATGACCTCAGGGATATTAACAAAAACTTATGCAATTCTACACGAAACTGGAGCAAAATAATAGCCTATACACGCAAAATCATGTGACTCAAAGCTCTTGTTTGAGCAAACTGCTCAAATTTATGATTTAAAAAAAAAAATTAAAATACATATTTTTAGTTACAGATTAGGGACCAATTCTCACTATTAACTAGTTGCGGTAACACTTTATTTTAAGGTGTCCTTGTTACACATGTACTTACTATTATAATAACAATTAATTATGCATAATTACATGCAAGTAACCCTAAGCCAAACCCTAACCATATAGTAATTAATATTACTCAGTACTTAAATGTATAATTACACTGTAACAAGGACACCTTAAAATAAAGTGTAACCCTAGTTGCTTATTAGTATGCATATGAGTAGCATATTTATTAGTAGGCTACTAATAAAGCACATATTAATGCATGATCATATTTTAGATCCCTTAATCCTAAACCCCATACATAAACTTAACAACTACCTTACTAACTATTAATAAGCAGCACGAGTTTATTGAGGGAAAAGTCAGAGCTAATAATGAGAATTGGTCCCCAGAGTAAAGTATAAGCATATTTTTCACATTTTATTTTGTGTCATGATGGCTATGTAAACATTTAGAGATCTGAGTGAAATTAATTATTGAAAATCACGTCCTTGAAAATGAATCAAATACACACTGACTGGGCCTTTTATATGTTAGATTTTGTTCTTGATTTTATCAATGGGCTACACACAGGCAGATTATATTTGCCATGACCTTTCTGTGTTTTGAAGGACAGCGCGGTACACTTACAGTTAATATACAGCTTCATGTGAATCTGTATGAAGTATATTTTTGACTATAATTAGCATAATTTAATTAGGTGGAATCATCCTGCAGGCAAGACCTCAAGAATATTCCATCAGCTTTAAAATAGTGTGTCAGTCACTGCAATTAGTGTTTGTGCACTAATGATATCAAGCAAAAGCAAATGCCAGAACTGATAGCTTATAGTTCGAGCTATTATTTAAAAGATATTCAGTATTAAATCAACAAAATAATGTGTCATTCAGATTTGAACACATAATAAATTAGGGATACACTTTTAAGTTAAAGTGACATTGTTACAACGTAATTACAAAAATAAGTACTTATTAAATAACTACAAGTACTTACTATACGGTTAAGGTTGGGGTTAGGGTTTGGTTTGTTGTTGGTTACATAACATCAGATGTTTCCTAAATTAGTTTTGGTTGTTGTTGGGTAGTTATCTATTTAGGTAGTTAATGCTATTTATTATTTAATGGCCTTTAAGTATTCTACTGTAAAATGGCTCGTGTTTTTCCATGCACATTTTCTTGAAGAGCTTAAAGGAAGCATTTGGGGACTGTCTGGAAGTCGCTGTGTTTACTGTAACTGTAGCACAGAGAGAGAGTGTCAAATTCAAGGCTACTTATGCCTCCTGTAAATATAGACCGTGTCAGAGGATATGTCTGTGTGCTGTGGCTCTTAGTTATAAACTAAGACTGATTCGTCCAGAGATTGTTCTAGATGATGATGATTTACTATGCAGATACATGTGCTGAAAACACTATTCGGAACATTATTATTATTATTATTATTATTATTGCTCATATATCAAAATGATACATGCTTAATATATCACCAACAACAGAAATTTGAAATACATATGCATTTTATTTGCACAGTTTGTGTATACTACTTTTTAAGCTACAATACAAGCAAAGGTTCCAACACTGTGAATATAATGTTAAACATCAGGCAAAAGATACAAATGCATTTCACAAAACACATTTTCAGAAATATATATTCATAGTCATTTTTTTTACAGTACAAACAGGATTTCAGGCATTCAGCACATTATATTTACATGGCTGTTTCCACCATTGATTTATCCCTGATCGATTTGATTTCAGATTTCTGATTTTACTTTTACACTATACAAAGCTTTGTGAGTTTTTGTAGAATCTAGAGTGCAAAATATTTCATCACATTGTAACTTTAAAATTATTTGATGCTGTACTAAATATATTATTTATAAATATGAATGCAAACTTCGGAAACAGTTATGTTTCACAGTATAATCATGCATAATGTTAGTAAAAATCACTATAACAGCCTGGATGTATCAGTAAATTAACTCAATGTACAATTTATATTCTTATGCTTTCTATTTGCTTATTGTTTTGCAAATTGTACAAAGATAAAAATGCATTGTGTATCCATTAATAAATCACAATTAATTACTGCTTTTTGATGGTAATCAACACTGTATTATTCAGAATTTGTGGTTAGAGTTAGCGATATACGCTATATATAATCACATGTACAATGCTATGTGGATTTTAACCCAATGCTGCCTCACATAAACATGTTCTGTTAAATACTCTTCAGTTCTGAGGCATTCATTATAGAAATTATATGTGCTAATTGCTGTCTGAAGAACAGCAGTTCAAAATTCACTGTTATAAAACAGATAGTTCCGGTGCTTGATTCTGATTGGCTGAGCCGCGTTCGAAGCTGTTGTAAATGACTCTACAAAGTAACATACACCTTTGTTTACGTTTGTGTGTTGCTCGGCAACCACTTTGTTGGAACCACAACTGTTTCTGAGGAGCTACATTGTTTGGTGGAAGAATACTGTCTTTATTAATATCATTACACTTTATTTGCTCTGTTTTATTTTGTGAAACCTTACTACGTATATGGAATAACCGTTTTATAAAAGCAATAAGCCCCGTGAAGCCGTGGTTTACAGTGAATTTATAACAGCTATGGGGGTTTATATTATAACTCGTACCTAACAACGCCCCTTAGCTGTTATAAATTCACTGTAAACCACGGCTTCACGGGGCTTATTGCTTTTACACGTCTACACACACCCTATACCACACTCAGGCTCATCAGGATTGAGTAAGAAGAAGGGCTTGAATCGGTGTTACAGATCGTCAGACTCAGGGATCTCAAAAGGCTCCAGAGAGACGGTGGGTAAAATGAGAGGCGTGCCGTCGGAGATCCAGCCCTGGGCCGTCCTGTTGAAAATGGGTCGCTTGGCTGCAGGATCCTGGAGCTCGGGGTATCGAGGAGCATTCAAGTCCACCTCCGGAAGCTTAAAGGTGATCCCTCGTGGGGTTTTTTCAAAACCACCATATGGTGTGGCCACCCTAAGAATCAGAGATTTAATCACTGACGCATCTGTATTGGTTTCTGTTCTGCTGCTGGAACTTTGGACTGTTCGTTTCATGCATACAAATTTTTTCATCAGTACACAAAATATTACATAATTTAATGGTAATTATTATTATTAATTATAGTTATTGTTATGATTATTAAAATATAACCTATTACAATTTGTAAATATTTTCAATAATAAAATAAATTTTAGTTATTTTATTTTGGGATGAAATTTTGGATATAATTGTATAATAGTGTAAAAGTAAAATCAGTCATTCTAAATGTGAAATTAAATTGATCACTGTGTACTGTGTGTGTGTGTGTGTGTGTCTGCTTGTGTGTGTGTGTGTGTGTGTGTGTGTGTGTGTGTCTGTCTGTCTGTCTGTCTGTCTGTGTGTGTGTGTGTGTGTGTGTGTGTCTGTCTG